GATCAATCAGTAAAAAAAAAAAAAAAACTATGTTCACATTTGTCATGTTGATTTTGAGACCAAAGATCATGAAGGAACCTTCAGAAGACCATTGAAGAGGAACTAAAAGATGGAAGCCTCTATCTATAAAAAAAAGGGGGAAGTCGTGGCTTAATGGATGGAGTTGGACTTGTAACCCGAAGGTCTCAGGTCCGAAGGTTCAAGTCTCAGGTCCGGCCGAGATTGTAGGTGGGGGTAGTGAATAAGCGCTCTCTCCACCTTCAATACCACGACTGAGGTGAGACCCTTGAGCAAGGCACCGAACCCCCAACTGCTCCCTGGGGTCCGCAGCATTGGCTGCCCACTGCTCCGGGTGTGTGCTCACAGTGTGTGTGCGTGTTTGTTCACTGTGTGTGTGTGCACTTGGATGAGTTAAATGCAGAGCACAAATTCCAAGTATGGGACATCATACTTGGCCACACGTCACATCCTTTCCTTCCTCCTTTCCTTCCCATAAGTTCAAGACATGAAGACAGCAGCAAAACGTGGTTGTGATTGGAACTGACAGACACAGAAGTGACAGATAAGTTTGTTTAAACAAATTGAAACAAAATGCTTGATCTGCTTTTATGGCTATTTATTTATTTATGAAGCCTGTAATAGGCATGTAATAAATGTGCTGTTACAATATTAGACAATATTAGTTCTTAAAATATAAGTTTGTGACTCCTACTGATTCTATCCAGAAATAATTATCATATATACATTTATTATACAGTTAAACAAAATATGTTTAATTTATAATATGTAATTACAATTTATAAAATGTAATTATTATTACAATTTTATTTGTTAGTCATATAATTTTCATTCGTATACATTTTTTTATTGCTAGTCTTCAGACCTTTGTTAGGCGGTGCACGCTCTTGTTGTCAGTTTTCGAAAAGCACGTGATGGTATGAATAAATATTGCTCATGAAATCTTTCATATTTCCATCAAAATTAGTGTATCATTACAATTAAAGAAGATATTATTAATATTGAGTAACTACTGGAGCTTTCACTGTATGTAACAGCAATGTTACGAATACTAGCCTATAGCTAAAATTGCTGCATGCTGCATCTGTGGTTAGTCTATAGAGTCTATAAATCGCTAAAATCTTAAATTTACTGAGATTGTTATTTATTATAATTTATTATTTAGTTGCAATTTTTGTTGGCTTCTTGTTTTTTGTTTTTGTTTTTTTAAAACAGTTTTTGTTTTGTCCAGCTGTATTTACTCAGAGCAACTTATAACATCCAAGTGAAAGATATAACACCAACATGTCAGAAAAAAAAAAGAATCACTGAGTTGGAAAAAGGATCAACCCCTCCTAAAAATTACTTGTAAACTCAATCAGGTGTAGCTAATCACCTTCTCAATGGCACACAAATGCATTTGACTATACTCACTATATATGACTTCTTTTGAGCAGTTCAAATCTTCATTACAGGGGTCAAACTCCCTA